CGCTAGAGACCCAGAAGACGCCTCCCTGCCAGCAGCCTACATAGTCCTTCAAGCTCTCCACAGCAGTCCTGACCTCTTCTATCATCTGCAGCCATGCCATGGTCCCTTGCATCACCTGCGCACCCCAACAACCACTAGCCTTGTCCCCAACCCATCCCAAAGGCTGATCCATAATAGGTCCCCAATAATACTAAAGAACTGCTGTGACAATTCAGGCATCCCTCCACTATGACTCAAAAAGCACCTGTATCAAAACCCAAAAAGAAGCTCTGGAAGTGCTGCTTCTCAACTTTCTACTTAGAAGCTGGGCATGGTGGCTCAAGTTTATAATCCTAGTACTCAAGGCTGAGCTCAGAGCGTCCATGCAAATCCGAGGCCAGCCAGGGTTACACTGAGTTCAAGGCCAACTGAACTACACAGCAAGACTCTGTCTCAAAAAAAAAAAAAAAATCAGGGGCTGAGGATGTAGCTCAGTGTCTGCCTTGCCAGCTCAGTCATGGGTTCGATCCCCAGTACCAAAAAAAAAAAAAAAAAATCAACTTTCTAATCAGAATCATGTAGGTTAGTAATTTCTTAATTTATTTTTTTCACTATGTAGTTCAGGCCTTGAGCTCACTATGTAGCACAGGCTAGCTTTAAACTCACTGAAGTCATCCTGCCTCAGCCTTTTGAATACTGGGATTATAGGCATTCCCCACCATGCCCAGCTAAATTAGTAATTCTCTCTCTTTCTTGGTACCTAGGTTCAAACTCATAACCTTGCCCAACAGGTGATGTATCAGTAAGCTGTATCTCCAGCCCAAGGTTAGTAATTTCTTAATGCAAAGAATGAGATTTAAAAATAATTCATAATTTTCAGGACTGAATGGCGCTCAATGGTAGAGCATTTTAACTACTAAACTTGAGGTCCTGGGCTTGATCCCCAAGCCACAAAACAAAATAAAGTAACAAGAAGTTCATTACTTTTTAATGTAAAGTAAGAGTTAAATGACACTTCTGCAACTTGACTATTTAACAGAACTTGCATAAGTCACATTTTGATCAGAGCTGAGTAATTTTGCTTGTCGTTAGCCTTTAGTAGAACAGTTGGTGAGTGTGCTAGAAAAGGTGTTTTCTCTTTTCCTTCTATGTACAGTAGGGCACATTCTGTCATCACTCACAAGCTAGAACACCATGCTGGAGCATGCAGAGACAAGGCACACAAGGTGTTCAAGCAGAAAGATGGAAAACTCTCACTGATTTCATGGGTTAGGGCACAGGGCTCTGCACAAGTTCACAGCCAGAGCGACAGACAATCAGAGACCAGGAGAGTGTGCCCCGGACAGACAGCAGGTTCCCACACCACAGTCTTGTGCTTCAGCAGACATCACCCATCTTCATCCGTTTACTTAGAGGTCAGGCCATGCAGCAAACTCTGGCAACATAAATCTTTTTTTTTTCCTCCCAGAGGAGGATACAGATTCACAAGACAATTCTTAACAATCTACTGTCATTCTGGAAAATATGTTAAGTAAAACGTGAAGAGCCAAGTGGTGGTCTGGGCTGCAATTCCAGCACTCGGGATTCTGAGGCAGGAGGATTACCACAAATTGGAGGACAGCCTGTGCTACATAGTGAGTTCAAGGCTACCCTGAATCGCACAGCAAGACCTTGTCTCAAAAAAATAAAAACAAAATAAACAAAAAAAAAAAAAGCTACAATTTTTATAACAAGAAGAGTTGGGTAAGAACTTGCAGCCCCCCAAAATGGAACTATCCTTTGTGAGTGCCAGGATCCTGATATAGGCAAGAGAAGAAGCAATAGTTCCCAGAACAGTCTTAGAGCAACTCCAAAGGCACCAGAGCACACACAAAAAAAGACAGTAATGTGAAGAATAAGCCCAAGTTCACAAGTTTCTAAACCTGTGCCCTAAGTGGGTCTCCTCCACTCCTGGAGGCTGATAGAGGACCTGTGATGGAGAACAGAGTACCATAGCTGAGCAGCGCCCCAGAAACACAGACCACAGGGACAGAGCGGCCCAATTTCCCTTAATTTGCAAAGTCCCACTTACGGACAATGTCAGAAAATTCACTGTCAAAACTTCTTTCAATTCAGTGTTTGTAAATAACACATCAGACAATAAAGGCGTGTCCACACCCCAAGGGCATTTCCTCTCCATCTCTGGATGGACCTCTGGACTCTGCACAGGCGGGACACTGGAAGCCACGGTGGCAGGGAGTCAGCCCGTCCCGGTGCATAGTGAATGTAAGAGCTGAGCGCCACAGTCCCACTTGTCCAAGGGATCTTGAGCCCAGTTCTGAGCACAAGGAAAGCTAAAGCAAACAGAAATTAAGCAAAGCAAAATTCTCGGATCCATACACAAAAAGGTAGATGACAGGCAGGCCTGAGGGAAAGATGAATTCTGGATTTCTAGATGACCCAAAGTGAGGGTCTCTCATCACACTAGTCAAGTCTCAGCAACACTCGCTCCCTCACTTTCAGAAAAGTATATGAAAAGAATTACAATTCTTTCAAGGGAGATAGCGCTGAAGTCTTTATTACACTTGTGATAACTGCTGCCTAAAGGCTTCCATCACTTGCTGTTTTCCTAAGACTGATGTGCCCCCAAAGTCTTCAAAACATCCAACATTACCACAAAGCAGACCTTGTGGAAGAACCCCACTACGATAAAGTACTACTGTTTGCTTCATTTTTGGTAAATTCTTCTATAAGCCCTTCCACAATTTTCCTCTTGAAGAACAAACTTATTTTCCACTCTCGCTGAGTGAAAATACTGCCTTGCACAGGCAGGGAGGGCAAGCATTAGAGCCATATCCAGTCTGTTACCAAACGGGAAGTTAGCGTCTGTGATAAATCCAGCATGAGAGATTCCAGAACTGACACAATGCAGACACACAGAAGTACTTCGCGCACAGCGCACAGGTGTCTGCCGGCCGTCTGCCGGCCGTTTGCTGCACACGTTTCCTAATTAGCATTTCTTTAAACAATGCAGATAACAATCTTGACACGTAACCCTCGCCAAAAGCTCCGCTGAGACTAGCGCTGAAAGCGGGAGGAAAATCGCTAAGAATCTCAAACTTTTGTTTATATCTCTTCAGTGTAAGAAATTTGCTGTTCTTCATCCCATTTAGCTTCCCCCCAGGCTCCTCAGTCCAGCCCTATTGTGTGCGGCTCTTTAATCCTACAAACAGTGAAATTGTTGGCGGGACCGGGGAACCTCAACTAGGCAGAACCCTCCCGCTGGAGCAAAAAATTCCCCACTTGCCCTCGGGATTGAGTTGTCAGACCCTGACCTGCGGTACCCTGTGAAACTGACATCTCTATTTACAGCGAAACAAAGACGCGGCTCCTAGCCGACCCTGCTCCCTCCGCGCAACCCGTGCGCTCCGCGCGCCGCATCCTCTCCGCGCCCCTCGCCACACGGCCCCGAGGGCCCTGCGCCTGGTTCCGCCGGTAATTAAAATGGAGATGGGGCCGGCGTCCAGCTGCTGAGAAGACAATGACCCCCGAGGCCGGCAGGGTGCGGTGACCCGCCCGCGCCCACCTCCCGCAGTTCTGACTCTTGGCAAACTCGGCGCGGGCGGGTCCGGGTGCGGCTCGGCTGCGCGGGTGGGGGACGCGCGGGGCGCGCGGGGTGCGCGGGCGGGGGGCGTGGGACGCCCCCGGGCTGCCTCTCGGGGCCGGGCGTTGACGCAGCAGAAATTACCAACTGGAAAATTCCCCTTTCGGAGGTGACGGGGGAGGAACAGTGGCGGCTGCCGCGGAGGGAGGTGCTGGGGGCTCAGGGGCCGAGCAACCCCGCCATCGCCGCCACAGTCAGCCCCGCGGGGACCTCACCGCCCACGCCGCCCCGCCCACGTCGCCCGGGCCCGGGACCTGTGGGCCGGGGTCTCTGCGCTGCACGCCCCCAGCCGTCGCCGGTGCCGATCGCCCCCGGGAGGGCGCCCCCGCGGGGCGGGGCGCGGCAGGCGGCGGGCGGGGCGCGCCCGGCTCGGAGCCGCTCCGCGGCATCTGTCCAGCCAGGTCGGCCCTGGTGCCTCCTGCTGCGGTGCGCCGCCCGGGCCGCGTGGACAATGAGCCGGCGCCGCTTACCTGTGACCCCATGGGGCGCGGGCACTGGCGGGCGCCACGGCCGCCGGACCGGCGCCGGTGATCGCCGCCGCGGCGGGCAAGTGCTGCGTCTAGGAGGGCCCGAGCTGCGCGCTCGCTGGGGCTGCTCCGTCCGCCCGCCAGTCAGTCCGTCCGTCCGTCAGGCCAGCGCGCGCCCCCGCGCCGCTCCAGCCCCGCGGCCCCCGCCGCCCGCGCGCGCCCCGCCCGCGGACCCTGACCCCGCCCCCGGCGCGCGCCCGGCCGCCGCTGATTGGCCCTCCCCGCGCCCCGGCCTCGGCCCCGCCCCCACCGCCGACCGCTGGCCCCGCCCCTCGCTCAGCCGGCTCGGCGCTGCGGGCTCCGGGGGCGCACGGCGGCCGGTGCTCCGTGGCCCCCCCGCGGTGGCTGGACAGCGGAAGTGCCGGCTGCGGCTCGCTGGGCATTGTGGGAAGCCCCCTCCCCTGGGCTGGCGCACGCGGGGGCGGCGCGGCGCGGTTCCGTCGCCGGGCGCCCTTCCCCAGGGGCGGCGGGCGGTCGGCGACCCCCGTATGGGAGCGGCGGTGAGGCGCGGCCCGGCCCTCAAGACGGCGCCCGGTGCCTGCCCCAGGGTGCGGGGTCTTCGTGCACCAGCGGCCCCAGTCCCGCCTAGTCGTCTTGGGGCGCGCGTCTTGCAAACTTCGCGACTCCCCGCGGCTTGGGCAGTCGGGCGCACGCGGCGGGGCGCGGGGACGTGGCGAGGCCCGCGGGGCCAGAGCCTGGGATGTGGGCGCACGCGGGCCATGTGGCGGCCGTTGCCATTGGGCTCGGGTGCCAACTAGGAGCGCGGCCTGGCGTGCGTCCTCAGGGTGCGTTTGGCCCTGGCGGAGTGCGGACTTTGGGGACAGGCGGGAGGCCAGCAGTCTGAGCCTCACCCTGAGCCCGCAGCTGGTGGTGGCAGTCGCGCTCCGTGCTGCCTGGGTCAGTTTTTCTCCCTCCGCCTACAGCGGCGCGGTGAGGCCCGCATATCTCCTCGCCCTCGGATGCTGTGCTTAGCCCTGGGGCGAGCAGCGTGGCGAGCGCGGCCCGCGTTCCGGGCCAGCTCGCGGCGAAAGGCCACGACGCTGCTGCTTCCCCGCCCCGGGCTCAGCGGCGGGAAGGGAGATGAGCCCGCGGCCGGCCGCCGCGCAGAGGAGTAGAGCACCCCGGGCCAGCCAATCGCGTGGCGCCCCGGCGTCCGCGCCCTGCCTCCCGACGGGCCAGCGCCGCGGAATTCCTCGGGAGGTGGGAGGTGGCAGGCCGCGGTGGAGCTTTCTCAGGATGTGTGAGGAAGCATTCATAGGGCGGCAGTGGGAGGACAGGCTGGGGGGAATTCTCCTTGAGTGAGCAAGGGCGAGCCGAGGTCTGGCAGGCAGCGATGAAAGCCTGCGACACTCCCTCTGCTCTCTGGCGCCTGGAAATGGTTGTGCAGACGCCCCTGCCCCACCCCCTTGCCAGCTGCCCACGCTGGCACTGCTGGCCTTTCCCCTGGAGGATCATCAGAGGCACATCCCTGGTCCGAAACACAGGGTTGGAGTTCTACCGCCCTAGTAAGACCTGGGCTATACACTGTCACACTGAAGTGGCTCGCCCTAACCTCTGGGATGATCCGGCTGGTTGCCTGCCCCCCTTCTAGGAGACAGAGTACCCTCTGTCTGTAGATGGCCACACATGCCCCCACCCCGCTCCCAGGTGTCTGGATTAGCCTGGTAGGAACTCTGGAGGAAGTGAGGCCTAGAGAGACCCAGTGTCTCCCAAGACTGCTGACACCCCCACAAGAGGACAGTGCGGGTGGTCAGAGCTCTGCCTGCTGCATGCAGTGGAGGCCGCCCCACCAGAGCACCAAAGCACTGCTCAGTTGTTGCTCAGCATGTTGCCTGTATGTAGAAGTTCACCATGCTTGCCAAGCTAGGGCTGCCTATCTTAGCAAAGGCTGAATTCTAGAATGATCAAGAGCAGAGGGATCCCCCCCTGCTCTCCACCCTCCAATAGCATTGCTGCCAATAAGGGACCAAGATTCCTATCTTTTCTGCTCTAAGAACCAAGAGCAGGTCAAGCAGCCAACACATTGAAAAAGTACAATGAAGAACAATCTCCAGAGAGAGCTCTAATTAAGCCATACCTAAAGCCACCTTACCTCCACATCAATGTACCACTAAAAAAATGAACCATTAAAAAAAGAAAGAGGAGCTGCCGCCTCTCAGCAGAACATGGAGGAAGGCTGTGGCTGCACTGACCCCAGGCCTTTGTGTCTGCCAGGATGCGTCATGTTTACTCAGGACCCAGCATCCATGAAGCTGTTCTGGGATCAGACCTGAGGTGAGCAGATGCCAAGCTAGGCAGTAATGTTCCTGTCTTGCTGGGACCCACTTGCTGGTCCAACTGTCAAAGCCTGCATCTCACTGCCTGAAAACCTGCCAGCTCCCCACAAACACAGCAGCTTTTCCTTGGAGACAGTGCCGGGACAGGTATGAGTGGGGTATGTGCATTTGGGCATGGTGGGGACTGAGGGCAGGTGCCCAAGGCGCCATGAGGGCTCAGACTTGGTCCTTGCTGTGCCCCAGTGATTGGACAAGACGGGCAAAGGATGGGTGCCCAGGGCCCTGGGCACACTTGTCCAGGCCGTGTGGTGAAGTCATTTGGGAGGGTCCCCCTGCCACCTGTGAGCATGCCTGGAGCCTGCCAAGAGACACCCTGAAGCCTGGGAGGGAATGAGCAGCACACTAGGCATTCTGGAGAAGCAGGACTGGAGACACAGGGCCACGTGTGGAAGCTGGACGAGTTTAGTGATGACAGTAGCTCAGAACATGCTTCCCTTCCCCGTTGGCTCCAGGGACCTAGAAGGACCATAAGAGCCACCAAGAAAGCTCCCACGTGGCTCACAGATGCTGCATATACAGCCTCTGCAAACCGGTGCTCACCAGTACTATTCCCACTTGCTCTGGCAGTTGGCCATCTGCCCTCAGCCCCCACTGTGTGGCTTCAAGGCAACAGAGGAGCAACGAAGGGTCCAACCGCATGCCATACTCTCAGAGAGCAGGGACCACCTTTCATTCTCAGTCTGCTTTTTAAAGGAACAGTCTGGGAGCAATTCTGGGACATAAAATTGTAGAGAAAGACCAAATTAGCCTCAATAGCTTTCTTTCTGTGTGGGAGGAGAGAGACCCTAGCCATCACCAGGGACTTTGACACCACCTCCTTCTTCCCCCAAAGCAGCATTTCCTTATCTACCCCCAGCTGGGTTTTCTGTGGCTGTCTTTGTCTCCATCACTGGTCAGGGAACCTGCCTGTTTATTCTCCAACCAGTGGTATTGCTCAGTCGTCCCCATGGCAACAGCCCCAGGAGTCCTGCCCCCTCTGGAACTGCCCAGAACCTGTCCCTGCCCTCTCTCAGCCCTCTGCTGAGAGACCAGACAGGAGCAGAGGGCAGGGTAAGAGGGAGACACCCTCTATAGGCCTGAGGATGCTAGGCTACCCAGGGAACCGCCCACTACACGTCATCCTGGGTCCTACAGTGGACCAGGCTGGCCTAGAGCTGCAGCAGAGCCCCGCCCATGGGCTGGAGGAGGTGCCAAGTCCAGGCTGAATCCAGGTGGGTCTCCTCTTAGGCAGAGTTTGGTCAGGTCCAGTGCGAGCTGGTCCTACCCTCCTGCCCAGGCTTCCCAAAGACCACCCTTCAGAGCTGCTCTGGGGCCAAGGCTACCTGCCAACTCCACAGTGGCACCACCCCTCTGTCCTCCAGGCCTGTGCCCCTGCCAAGCCCCAACTGCCACTCCAGCTGCCATGGCCAACTGTCACCCTGTCTCCATTCCAAGCACTCTCTTACTCCAGCCGTTCTTCCTGAGTGCCACTGCCAACTGTTGCCCCTTGCTCCCCAAGCCTTACTCCCACCTCCCTGGCCAAGCACCAGGGCTCTGCATTCCACAGTTTCCCACTCCTGCTAGGACAGAGCTGTGGGCTTGGTGGGGTAGGCTGAGCTATGGGAGGTCCCGAGGGCCCGTGACCAGGGAACAACAGTGTTGGAAGGCAGATGCAAAAAGCAGAAGGGACTAAAGGAAGGGGCAGGGAGAGAGTGGAGCAGGAGCAGAGGGCAGGGTAGCCTGACTTCAGTGCCAGCTTCCACAGCCAGGCCCAGCACAGGTGCAGGAAGTAGTCAGTGCCTTGCCCAGCAGGACTGAGTCAGTCCTCAACACACTATGGGTAGAGCCAGGGCCCACCCGAGGCCCCTTCCCCCTGAGGTTCTGCAAATACCTCCTCCTGACCATGGACCATAAGAGGGTCCTGGCAAAGGTCAGGAGCGTGCTTGATCCCCTCCCTACCCAGCCTCTTTATAGGGTATCCACCAACTTTCATAGCTGTGGGCCCAGTCCCTGGCTCTGAGCCATCCCTAGCCAGCCTGGGTTACCTATTCCGAATGGACTTACCACAGTCCTCTGGCCACCCCTCTGGATCCCAGCCCTAGTCTTGCTCCCCCGTTTCCTACTTACCTCCTCCTTTCCCCATTCATCCCAGTGTCACTGCCACAAATTGACACTTGCCTGTCCTCCCACCACAAGAGCCCATCTTTCCCCAGCCCACTAGGCTCTGATCTCTAGCTCAAGTGTGGCCCTGGGCATGCAGCAGGTGCCCTAGAGTGGGTCCTTGGCAGGCCCAGGGAGGCACTGTGCCCCCACAGATACAGGCCTGGGGCTGTAATTCCATCTTAGCACAGGGCAGGACTGTGGGGGCAGGGCTCAGCCTGGCTGGAGAGAGGCCACAGCTCCCTGGGGGCCACAATCTCCAGAGATCCTGTTGCACATTCAGAGAGTGCCACAGGCCAAGGGGACACCTGGCTCTCCCTGCTGTCACATTTGGGAGCTGCCAGACCAAAGAGCCAGCCCTCCAGGATAGGTCATGCTGGGAGGAGGAGGTATGGGAGATCTGTCGGGTATTGGGGTGGGCCTGGGAGGAAGGAGAGAAGCAGAACATGTTTGATAAGCACCTACTAGGTGTAAGGATCTCCCTATGTGGGGGCTGGAAAGGGGGTCAAAGGAAGAGCCTGTGCCTCATCCCAGCCTGTGGCACAGGGGCTCTGTCCTGTCCCATGGGATGCAGGCTTCCCCTCCTACAAGAAGAGATGTTCTTGGATCTCCTTTGTGGGTACAGAGACACCCAGCAAGGAACAGGGCCAGCTCGATGCCTCAGCCTTATCCATTCATCATTCAGCTGCTGTGAGGGCAAGAGGCAGAGCCCATCATGTGCCAGTGTGAGCTGAGGCTGGAAACCAGACAAAACTCTCATGCTCTAGCAGGAGACAGTTTAGCAGAGACATAAACAAGAGCGTTTCCAGTGATTAAAAGGAACTGGAAATGGGGCTCTGTGAGAAAGGCTGGTCCTGGGAGCGGGGTGGGAAAAGACTATGTGAGTCCTGTGGTCACAGGAAGGACAAAAGGCAGAAAGACCAAGGCTACCAGAAAGACCAAGTGCCTGTGGGACTGATGCCAGAGCTGCCCAGTGCTGGGTCATACTCAAGCCTGAGTGCATGTGGGCAGAGGCAGACGGTGAGGAACTGAGTTCATAGAAAGAGACAACTCTTCCTTGCAGGGCTCCAAATGGCAAGTGCAGACCCTGCCCCTCCTGAGATTAACTCCACACATTGCTTGAATGTGGGCTGGGCTTAGAGATCCCTTTGGAAAAACAGAATTGAAAAAAAAGGAAAGAAACAGCCTGGACAGTGGAGACACTGGCAGGTGCCACGCAACCTAGACAACCCAGATTAGCACCACCAGCTGATCATGTGACTGTTAGTTACCCCAAGAAAGGTGCCTCACCTCTGGGGAGTCTTCCCTAAAACTCAGACCTCAGGCTAATCCTGAGAAAGCATCTCCACCAGACAGGAATCCAGGGACCGTCTACACAGCACCAGACCCTGTGCACCTAGAAACCTCCAAAGGTCACGAAAAAAAGGGAAGTTTCCGAAAGTCTCATCCCAGAAGAACCTGTATGGAGTGGCGGAAATCACAAGTGTTATAGTGGCCTGGAGGGGACCGTGGGACAGAGGAGGACATTCCTTTTCCTCTGGAAAAGGAAGATCCAGAGATAGCCTGACTACAGGCAAAGGTACATCAAGGGAAGCTTTCCAGTGCTGATAAGCCGCACGGAGATGCAAGATAACAGAAACTGAAAGCCCGGGAGGGGTACACAAGAACTGTCTGTGCTTTGCCGACTTGCAACTTTTCTGAAATCCAAGTAAATTCTAAAATAAAAAGTGTGTTTTATTTTGATACTGGGATTGAACTCACAACCTCTTGCTTGTCAGGCAGGCACTTGTGCCACCAAGCTAAACCTCTGGATCCAAAAAAAGCATATTTTAAAAAAAGGAAAAACGCAAAACAAACCGTAAAAACCACTTCCGGTGGGCTCTGGTGGTAGGAGTTAAGCAGCCTCTCAAGGTCAGGGGCTCAGTTTCAGCTTTAGGAATAAGACCAAGTGCTGATTCCTAAAACGGAGTGCTGCCCAGCCCTGAAGCACTCAAAAGCTGTAGGAACCACAGAGCAAGTACAGCGAGGCAGAAGCAGCCTGGCTCAGTGTTAGTTAGCAAGTGCTGGTGTATAGCGGGCTGCAAACTCTCCTTCCTGTATGAACCCTGGGCAGGGAGAGCCAGCTGCCTTTCCTACTGACCACACCTGGCACAGGTACATCGTCTACAGTGGTCCCCCACGTCGGCAGTGTCTTTGCTCAAGAAAATCTAAATGCAAACTGAGCGAGGTGGTACACTCCTATAATTCCAGCATTTGGGAAGCAGAGGCAGGAGGATCACCACAAATTAGCTCCCAGCCTGGACTACTACATACACAGTGAATTCCAGGCCAGCCTGAACTATATACTAAGACCCTTTTTCAAAACAAAAACAGAAACAAAAAAATACACACACACACACACACACACCCACCCTCCTTGGTCACAAATATGTATGTGGTGGGCATGTTTTATATATTTACCTATTTGTTTATAGTGCTGGGATCAAACAGAGGGCCTCACATCTATAAAGCAAGAGCCTTACCATGGAGCTAAACCTGCAGCCCATCACACAGACAAAAAAATTTGTTTTAAATTTTAGCCTGGGGCCGGGTGTGGTGGCTCACACCTGTAATCTCAGCACTCGGGAGGCTGAGGCAGGAGGATCGTCGCGAGTTCAAGACCAGTCTGGGCTACAAAGTGAGCTCAAGGCTAGCCTGACCTGCACATCGAGACCCGGTCTCAAAAAGACAAAAAAAAAAAAAAAAAATTTAGCCTGGGTATTTTGTGGCATACACCTGTAATCCCAGCTACTTGGGAAGCTGAGGCAGGTGGATTAAAAGGTTAATGTCAAACTGGGCACAATTTAGTGACACTCTGTGTCAAAGTAATATTTAAAAGGTTGGGGATCTGTGACGTGCTTAGTATGTACCAGGTGGGTTTCATCCCCAGCACTTTAAAAATTTTAATTAAAAGTAAAACAAAACAAAACCCCACCACTTTGCCCACTGAGTTTGAGTGACATTGAATCTGTCCTGGTGTCTTCCTAATGAAATGGTCTGAGTGAATCTGGCTCACCCTAAATGTCAGGTGCTGTTTCTCTGACAGTTTCCATGAGCCTTTGCCTCTGACTTTGCACAGGTCTGTCTCCTACATGTTTGTTTATGTTTGCCGGTTTGCAGGTGACGCATTCATGTTCATTCAAGAATGTGTTGCCAAGCATGGTGGCACATGTCTGTAATCTAGCACTTGGGAGGACCACTATGAGTTCAAGGCCAGCCTGGGTCAAATAGTGGGACCTTGTCTCCAAAAAGAAAAAGGAAAGGAGAGAGGGGAGAGGAGAGGGGAGAGGAGGGAGGGGAAGGAGAGGAGGGAGAGGAGGGGAGGAAAGGATTAAAGGCAAGAAGCACCTCTGCATGGGAAGACAGGCTTCAGGCAGTTTCCTGGCACATGGCCACCCGGATGTACAAGGACTGGGAGCGTACAGATGGACTGGGACCTGAGCTTGCACTCAGCGGGTGGAGATGACGAAAGTCTTTCCTTACACCATGTGAGATGAGTTAGGTTCTAATGAAGGCCACGGTGGGTCTTCTGGGCTTTTCTATGAGCTGTAGGATGCCACTGAAGACTTTGAATGAGAGAGAGGTGTGATCTAAAATGAGAATTTTTAATATGTTGGCTGATGTGCCCTAGAGTAATAGAGACTTAGTAGCTGGGCCTGCAGATCCCAAATAAGTAACTGAAAGCAAGATGAAGCCTGCCATCTCTGCTTTTTTTTTTTTTTTTTTTTTTTTTGGCACGGGGGGGGGGGTGGGGAGTGGGGAGGGGTTGAACTCATACTTGCCAGGGAAGTACGTACACTGCTGTTAAATCCTGGCCCTCTACCTTCATTTTATATACCTCCCATCAGCTGCTCAGCTATGCACATGGGCATGTTACTCACTCAAAGAATGTCTGTGCCACGGACTTATTGGCCCTTATTTCCCAACCTATATCATTTCTTTCCAAGATTAAAGTCATGGCTTTCAGAATTTACAGGGATATTCATTTGCCAGTTTTTACAACATCAAGTTATAGACTCTATGGAGCCAGCCATTCTTCTGTACCTGCAGTTACCTGGATCCCAGAAAAGCAGAGCCTCCAAGAGCGTTCCATGAGTAGGTCACTCCCCAAGTGGGAGCAGTTACTGATGTTGCCCCCCACAGGCAGGAGCCGCCATCTCATGATGGGAAGCCAACTGTCCCTTGTGATACTGCTCTCCAGGATCTCACAGAACCACTCCTGAGGTACTGGTTGCCTGCACTGCAACTTGACCAGGGTCATCTCCCCTGCTGGCCATGCAAATCCCAGCTCTTGCTTCTGTCCCTCTTTTCTATAAAATCACAAATGTATGTCAGCGCCTGGAAGGCAGATCTTTTGTTGTTGTTGTTTTGCCTTTTTGAGACCATCTCAATAAGTAGTTGATTCAGCTGGGCATGATGATACGTGCCTGTAATCCCAGCACTCAGGAGGCTGAAGCAAGAAGATCATTGCGAGTCGGAGACCAGTCTGAGCTACAAAGTGAGCTCAAGGCCAACCTGGACTGCATAATGAGACCCTGTCTCAAAAAGGAAAAAAAAAAAAAAAAAAAGCAGTCGAAACTGGCCTTGAACTTACTATGTAGCCCATGCTGGTCCTGAATTTATGATGATCCTCCTGTCTCTGCCTTCCCAGTGCTAGGATTACAGATGTGTGCCACCATACCCAGCTGGAAAGCAGATTTTGAACCTATATCCATGCTTCCCTAGGTGGCCATGCTAATTAAAGATCCTTTCCTGCCCTTTACCACACCCTGAATAACATTTTGGGATTCCTGGAGTTAAGGCTTTTTTCCTACAACCCTGGTAACATTAGGACAAAGCAGAAGTGGGAGATGAGGGGAAAGCCAGAGGAGGTATCTGCCCCTCCACTTGGCAGCTGGATGACAGCTTTCTGTGTGGGGACTGGAAGTCAGAGGGGTGCGGATGTGGGAGCCAGGCAGGTGCTGCTGGCCCAACCTAAAGGAGAGAGGCCAGGGCTGCAGGTTCATCATGGGGGAGGGGAGACCAGGGTCACCATGAATGGACACTAGGGTGGAAAAGGTGTGGATCACTGTGATCCCTGGGGAGCAGAAGGGTAGGGTCAGGGAAGGTCACCTGGTGGTGCGGAAATCACAGGCCCTTCTCCTCCTTCCTCATTGAGGGTTTCAGAGGTCATCTATGCAAGGACCAGGGCAGAGTTCTGAGTGAGCTTCCACGAGCTGGTCCCAGAGGACAGAGCTGCAGCGCCTGGCCCAGATTGCAGCGTGACCCAGGACACTCTCCACCTGGCAAAAAAGTGGGATGCCAGTCTGCTTGATAGGCTTCTGGGTCCCCCTGTAAATATGCCAACAGATCCTCCAGTCCTAGGTGGGTGACAGCTCCAGGCTACAACTCCCATTGTCCCCCAGCTAGGGCTGTGCCTTCCTGGAGACTCCTGCAACTCAAACTCCAGGTCAGCACAGTCAAAAGGAGGAGAGAATATCTGATATGAGCATAGCATGCTACCACCTTCCTCTGCCACTCTGGGACCAGCATCCCTCCTCCTTGCCCACCAGCTTCCTCACATGGCCTTGGTCTATCGCCACACTGCCAGTCCTCTAAGCTGCATTGCTGCAGGTGTTAAACCAAGGGACTCAGTGTCTGCCTACAGGCCTAGCAGCATTGCTCACACCTCTGCCAGTGCTAGACACAATCGGCTCCTCATTCATTCCAGGCTCTTCTGCCAACAAGACTTTTCCTGGTCCTGCCCCCTCACACTTCTCAGTCATCCCAGCAGGCACCCCAACCCTAGTTCATAGCTTACTGCCTGCTCTTTGCTGCTATGATTTACTCCCCCCACCCCAACCTTCCTGGGCTCATGTATGTCTCCAAGTCGAGACATGGGAACTGCCCTAGTCAGAAATTGAGTCACCACCAGTTTGGAGCCAAGCAGTCACCATCTGTACCTGAAGAAACACCACAAATTTCATCTTTTGGCATTGTAGTCACAAGGGGCATTGAAGTCAGGAACAGGTGAGTGTGGGATGGGAGAGCCCAGGAGGAAGAGCTGGGAGCTAGCTGGGGTTGGGTATGATTTGGAGTCTTGGGTAAATGAGTTTTCCTTTTGGGATTTGGGTTCAGAGTCATCCCTGGCTGCTTGTGGAAGCCTCAGGGGCTCCTAGACCCCAAATCACCCCAGGATGGGCTCATTGTTGGAGGAAAATTCACAGTGAGGGCCAAGAGTGAATTTGGCCTTGGTTAAAGTATCAAACAGGCCCCTAGCCAGGTGTGGTGGCTCATGCCTGTAATCCCAGCACTCGGGAGGCTGAGGCAGGAGGATCGTTTCGAGTTCGAGACCAGTCTGGGCTACACAGTGAGCTCAAGGCCAGCCTGAACTGCATAGCGAGACCCTGTCTCAAAAAGACAAAAAAAAAAAAAAGTATCGAAGAGGCAGAGCTGACCAAACAGTGGCCATCACATCTGATGTGGTCATTCCAGCCTCACAGTCTTGGTGTCAGCTCTGGCCTAGATGCTGAGTGCTTTCTTCTCCAGGGTCTTTTGAGGAGCTCTGTGCTGCCACTAGGGTTGGTATGGAGCACCAACAGCTGGGCTCCTGACCTCCGGTCCTGGTGGGTCAGCAGGGCTGGATTTCCTCCTCCCTTGGGGGTCCTGGTGCCGGGGTGGTTTTGAAAACCAGAGGCTGGAAGCCTTATCAGACCACAGGTTTTCCTGAGGAAGGAAGGGTGGGTGTGGGCCTCCAGGACAGGGCGCCTCCTCTGGGCGTGCCAAACCAAGTGGAGGGGTGCACATGCCCGCCCATCCTCTTAGAGGGGCACAGCCTCTCTCTTCGGGAAAACTCAGCTCAAGACACACCCCCAGACAGAAGACTGTGGCAGGCTTGGGGGTGGAGCAGAGCTGGGAGGGCCTGTGCTCCTTGAAATCCGGGCAAGTGCCAGCAGTCCTAGGAAGAGTGGAGTTCACAGCACCCCCTCTCAGATGCTCAGCAGGAGCTAAGACCGGTGCAACTGAAGCTCCACCCTGGGATATGCCCTCTGGAAATTCATGCTTGGGCTTTCCAGAAAAATAAAAAGAAAAACTCAAGAAAAGCAAGGCATAAAACCAATAAGTATATTTTCTTGATCTAAGTGCTGGTAACAAGTTGCATTTAGTTTATGAAAATTCATTGAGTCATATATTGTGACATATGTCCTGTTCTGAATGTATGCAATACACAAGTTATATACAATCCCACTCCCCCCAAAAATCCCTCCCCTGAATTCTTTGAAAAGTAAAAATGTTTCCTAAGGCTTGTTCATCCTGCATCCTGCCTGGATCCAGCCCCTCAAAGGACCTCTCTCCCCCCTCCAGGGAAGTCTCAGGGCAGCCCTGGGCTGGAAGCCAGGGAAAAGGCCAGGTCGTGTTCCAGACTCAACACCCCACATGGAGGGAGCAGACCACAGAGGGACTGGGAAAGGAGGAGGAGCCACCCTTAGGGAATCAGAGCTGGGGGCAGGGTGCAGCTGGTCAGGCTGACCACCCTAGTGCTGGCTCTGTGTTTCTCAGCAGATTCTCTCTGCAGGGCTCTTCAAGTCTCCTGGGTGGGGGTCCCCACAGCTGCCCAGGTTGGGCCAGAGGATATGGAGTTGGCCCAGCTTGAGCAGGCAGCTGGCCAGAGAGCATGGTGCGGGGCTGGGGATCTACCCGCTGCCCGGCCCGGTTAGGGGATGCCTCCCGCCTCCTCCCACCCAGTCTGGCCTCAGAGCCTCTACCCCTTCCGCTTCCAGAGGCCCCGGGGCTATTTTTAACTTGGCTGAGCTGCCAGAGTTGAAGGTGGACCAAATCCTGGGGGAAGGGCTAAGGAAAGAGGCCCAGCAGCTGCTGTCCTGCCCTCACTGTCCTGGGGTCCAGGTGTTCTAGGAGGCACTGGTCATTCTCTAGGCCTCCACTTGCCAATTCAGTCATCCAGGGCAGCCACACACATCTGAGAGTCAGACACACACCACATACACACTGCTGGCACACCTAGACTCTGACTCGCACACACCAGCTGGGCACACACTGGCCTCGCAGACTTGAGAGATGGTTGTGAACCCACACAGATATCCTTAGGCCTACCCAGACACATAGTACCCATCCCCAGGTACCCAAGTCCTCCTCCCACACACAACACACATGCATACACACATAGACACGTGGACACACTCAGGCACTCAGGCACACAGGCAGACACTCACAACCACAGAGGTACAGAGACCACTTGCTCATGGGGCACAGGGAGAGGATCAGAGACTGCTGCAGTGGGTGACTCTGAAAGGGAGGGTGCTCAGCCTGTCCCATTTCGCTGTAGCCCACTAGAGGGACCAAGTCCGGGGGGTCTGAGCCCCCTTTGCACCCTGAGACCCACTCTGCCTCATTCTCCCTGTGAGGTGCAGTGTTTGCAGCAGGAACCTGAGCTGAGCTGAGCTGACTGGCTTTCTTCTGTACCCTACTCCCCACTCCCATACACCCAGGCAGCCCCAAGAGGAAGGTCAGGGGCTGGCAGGAGGGGGTCAGCTCAGGGTGTTCTCAGCCTGGCCTCTTCTTTTTCCATGTGCCCTATTTCACCTGCTTTCCTGAACCTTTGTCCTGTGGAGCAGCTGCCCCCTGACCCAGGGGAGACTCGAAATCTGTCCTGGAAATGCCCAGGTGCTGGGGGCCTCCTTCACTTCATCTGAGGGAAGAAGGTGCTAAGAGAGATGGGTCTTAGGATGCCATGGCATTGATTCTCCTTCATACCCACACCCCTGCCTCCTCCCCTGGAGGCTTTGGGGCGACTTCTGGGAGAGATGAGGAGGCCGGGCTATGGGATAGACAGGACATCCTCTTGGCAGGACGCAGGACGCCAGGCCGGAGGTTCCCAGCCTTTGTCAAGGCCACAAGGAGAAAAGATCACTAGGCCCTGGGGCTCACAGCAGTCTCCCTGATAGCCAGTCCAGGCCCCTCTTAACAATGAGTGAAGGGGACAGCAGATGGTAATCTGCACCTGGGTCCTGCCACAGCTTGTTGGGTTGTGAAACTGCCCATATACCCAGGGCAGTATGGTGCCATCCTTAAGACCTCTTCTTGGGGAGCCCCATTGTGTGCAGGCCTGAGAGGTCACTTCCACCTCACTGGGTTGCCTTTATCCCCTACCTCCCTTCCAGGCAAATCTGCCACCCCAGAGAAGAGGAAACCCCACACTTTTCCTGGAGTAGGCTGAAAACTGCCCCACAGCCTGGAAGATGAGGGTCTCGGCCTGCCAGGACCAGAGTCTCCCCCTCCTATGCCAGCATCCTGGCTCTGCCTCTAGGCTGATAGTGCTCCCGTCAGCCACCCACAGACATCTCTGCCCTGCTGTCCAAGGAAGAAATTGAGTGGGAAATGTTCTCACCTAAAATCTCTTGTGGACGTAAATTACCTCATACAGAGCTGTGTCAGAATTTGCCTGTTTTCCTTACAAAGGGAGTGTGAAATGTAGAGCCCTGGGACTTGGGGCTTTAGTTCCTCAGCACCTGACAAGTGGGAGCTCCCAACCTCTGTATGCATCTCTCCTTTTATAGCTTCCCTTCTCATCTTTTTCATGTTTTGTTTCTTTTTTGAGACAAGATCTTACTGCGTAGTTCAGGCTGGATTTCAGTTTATGTAGCCCAGGTTGGCCTTGAACTCATGGCAATCCTCCTGCCTCGGCCTCCCAAGCGCTGGGATTATAGGCATGAGTCACCATGCCTGGCCTTTTTCATGGCTGTGCTCACAATTTTTACATCTTTTTAAAAACTGAATTTATTGGGGCTGGGGATTTAGCTCAGTGGCATAAGCACCTGCCTTGCAAGCAGGCAGTCGTGAGTTCGATCTCTGGTACCAATAAAAAGGAAAAAGACAAAAAAAAAAAAGAAATATAATATCTTGGGCTGGGGTTATAGCTCTGTGGCACAGCACCTGCCTGGCAAGCAGGAGGTCATGAGTTCAATCCCTGGTAATATATATATATATGTGTGTGTGTGTGTGTGTGTGTGTGTGTGTGTGTATGTATGTATGTATATAATCTGGTTTCTGTCACTATGATTCTGTCTTCTAGAACTGTATGTAAACAAAACCATGTAGTATGTAAACAAAACCATGTAATCAGTACTGGGGATCAAACTCACGACCATGTGCTTGCCAAGCAGGTGCTTATGCCACTGAGCTAAATCCGCAGCCCCTGTTTCTTTAACACAATGCTTTCAAAATGCCTTATACAAGCATCAGAGTGCACTGATTTTCTTTCCATGCTGTGGAAGTACCAATGCTT